AGCAGTTTCTTTTTCTTATCAGGAAATTTCTTACGATCAATTGGTACTAGATTATATTGATTTCTTATTGTGCTTTCAAATAAGTGTCATATTGCACTGAATGTTTCTCGGTAGTTTCGTGGTAGTTTAGAATGAACTGTCATACATTGAACTTTTAAGTTTTGTAACCATATGAAATCTTGTCACCATCGTTATCACTTCACTTCGTTACCATCAGTGTTTACTTCTGATAAATATATCAATCTACAGATTATCATTCTTTTATCTCATATTTCTTCTTTCAATCATTTACATCCATAAGAGTGACATCATTTAATTCATTTATTTTTTCCACCTAATGCTTATTCCAGGAGTTAAAGAAGAAAACAGGTGTACTTGTGGTAAATGTTGGCACACCATCTGGTTACGATTATTTGCCGATCAGACGTTTCCTGCGGGAATTTCTCAGTGATCGACGAGTTATCGAGTTACCTCGAATACTCTGGTGGCCCATCTTGCACTTTTTTATTCTGACAACAAGACCATTCATCATAGGAAAATCATACAAGTAATATAATGTTTTCAAGAAGGAAGAAATTCAGATTAGGTGTAGTAGAATCCTTCAACTATTACTCTCATATTTTTATTAGGCGCCGTTCGACAGTGTATAAAATCGGAAATGGATGATAATGGAAATATTACAATATTTAGATTGATTTGGAATACAGTAGAAGACGAATGTCCATTGCAGACTATAACCCGTAACCAGTCGGCTAAATTGGCTAATCGTTTAAGTGATCAATCGGTAATGTTGCAATAGTTATCGATTTGGATGATTAGAAAGGATGAATAAGGATAATGATCTTGTAGATGTCATATTCCTAAACATGTCTTGATCGTGGATCAGGCTGCGAAGGTTTTTAATTTTATATTATTTTACCTTTAACCTAATATTAGAATTGATTTTTTATTGCTTAGATAATGGTTGATTGGGCATTTCGATATGGTGAGCCATCAATTGCTTCCCGAATACGTAAATTTGAAAAGGAAGGTATCTTTTTCCTCCTTTTTTTTCAAACATTCAAACTAAGAAATACTTTACTTCGCTTGTCGCAAAAATGGTTTTACTTTGGATCGGTTTAAATGAGATTTAGCTTGGTTTTAATAAAACCATAAGATTCAAAAACAGATTTTTTAGGCAGAATATTTTTGAAATATGTTATCGAAATTTTTACAGAAAAAATTTGAGAATTTCAGAGTGCGACAAGCTTATCATATTTCCATTATTTCCGCAATTCTCTGCTGTTACGAATGCTTCCATTTTCGATGAAGTGTGTTTGAGTTATCTACTCATTCTTTATATAGCTTCTACTATTGAATACTACAAATTTCAAGAACAATTTAGTGAAATTCCAATACTGTACATTACCCACATAACAAGTCTCTCACACGAAAAATCTGTTCATTACCTAACACGTTTTTTTTTATTACCACTTCAAATTTATTGATTTTTTCTTATTCGTCGTCAGAACTAATTTTAGACTTGTCGTTGTTTGATGAAGCAACGTCGTCAAATGATTTTGTCGGTAGTACCACCATTTTATGATAACGAATTGTACATCAAAACAATTCTTAAGCATCTAAATTCTGCTCTAAAAAGATTTCGAGCACCACCACAAGTAATTATCGTTTCATATCATGGAATACCATTATCATATCAATCTAGTGGTGATCCATATGGATTCCAGTGCAAGTACACAACTTCACTTTTACGGTTTGTATTTGGTATTTGATGAATTAAGGAAATAATTCCTAACAAAACACTGAGCAGTGTTTAAACTACTTCAAAATTTTGATCTTTGTGGAATTAGGTAATTTCAGGCAAAGATGGCCAATTTCGAATTGTGATTTGATAACAACATTCCAGTCCCGATTTGGACCCGCAGAATGGTTGAAACCGTACACTGAAGATACCGTCATAGAACTAGCAAAGTAAGTTTTCAGCTCAGACTTAACGTAATTTCGAATTATTACTTTATTGCATTATAGGCCGGAAAGATTTCATTAGTTATTCATTTTAAAAGAGGAAGAATTTATCAACACACTTTTGACATATTAAAACTTAGTTTAAGGAGAGATCAAATGCTTGTTACGATGCGTTTTTTTTATTTATAAATAAAAATTTTTATTTAAACATTTCTATATTAATAGTTTATTAATTGCTACTGTTAACTTGCTATAAGCAATAAAATTTCTATAGCATCAAGTAGATTTGATCTTTTAAGCCAGGTTAAGCCGATTTGAACTAGCTTGAAGCATCTTAATTCAGTAAAAGTTTTTATTTTTTTTATTTATTTTTTTTTTTTTGAAGTTTTAATGAATTTCTGGTTTTTGAAAATTTTTTTGTAAACTTTGAGGCGTGGAGTGAAACGAATCATGGTAATTGCACCCGGTTTCTTTAGCGATTGTCTGGAAACAATAGATGAATTGAAACTTCAACTTGCCGACTCTTTTCGGTAAGTTAGTTTATGATTAAAATTTGGCCGAAAAAGTATGCATTTATGTCTTGTAATTATATCTGTAAATTTTGAATCCCAATTCAACCCAGGTATAACTTTCTAGAAAACATGGTGGAGAAGAATACGTTTATGTGCCCTGTTTAAATGATAGCACGGAAGCAATCGATATCCTTGAATCGCTCTCTCGTAAACACATCCAATGTTTTCTGTAACTTCTACTAATCAGTAATATAATTTCATAGATCCCATTCCAGACATATTTGTAATCTATTAAAAATTCAAACCATATCAATGTGAATTTATTACTGTGTCCTCTTTCCTTTATCTCTTTGTCTTTTCTATTTGTCACTGTGAAAAATACACGAATTGGTGTCAAACGAAAATAATTACATCTCCATCACATTTAATCCGTTGGCTTATGTCATAACATAGCAAAATTTAATCAGATGTACGGCAAGAAACTATTTTATGCTACATCCTCATTAACAAATCTTGAAATATAATCATATTCTAGTTACAAACTGATTTACTATAATATTACAATAACGACATTGTAGAAATGAGTTGTGATCTGAATACCTTCTTAATTTATCTCTTCTTTATTCCATATGATTTTTTTCATGATCAAACATGCATTATTCAGACAACATTATAGATTATTATAGTGTTTTCTACTTACATCATTTATTTATCACTTACTTACATCAGTTATGTCACTTTACGTTATCTGTTATGTTTATACTTCTGGTCATTCTGACCATTCATTACACTTTCTGTCATCTGTGATGAAGAGCTGTGATATAAATAGCAATGAATTCAGTTGCTTTGCTATAAACTATCCATCAGATTTTTGATTTACACAAAAAAGCTCTAATCAGTCACACTTTATTCAGCACTTTACAGACATACAAAAAGATATCGGAGCATCTGTTAAATGAGGTAATAAAATGACAACAATCATAAACAAGCAATCTTATAAGGATTATTTTTTTTTTTTGTATATAAAGATTTTTTTTTACAAATTCATCATTTGGCACTAATAGCCTTTTTTAAAACATTTAATTGAACATGGAAAGTGTTTGCGTGTAACTTTAGCTTCAAGTTATGTTTGTTGACAAGAAGATCATCCTCGAAACAATTTGCACTATCATATGAATAGATAATGAAATTAAATTAACAAAAGATAAGTGAAAGTCATACTACTAGGTTTCATTTCTAGGTAGACATACTTAAAACTAAAAAGTACTGTATTATTGATGATAAGCTAATTATGGGAAATGTGAGACAAAAATTCCATCGCTTTACAGGAGTTAGTTATTTTGAGAGTGAAAAAAAAGAATCTTCTTTCAGATTTGTTTAGTTGTTAAGGTTTTATGAATGCCATTTTAAAACTATTTAAAAGCATTCTTAATTACTCTTAATTAAAAGAAGACTTATAGCAATTTCCTGTGTTTTTTCCTCTTTTTAAAAAGTTAAAATGACCGGAAAGTTTCTACAACTAAATGACCAAATGAAGAAATGGGCTTTCTGATTCTTTCACATCTGTTCCACTCCATATAAAAATGGAATTCAAATAAGTTTCTAAAATGAAATTCGCTAAAAAAAAAAAAATTCAGCTGAATTCATTAATGGCAGTAATGTTATTAAAAGTGATCCAAATTGGGATAAGTGGCAATAATAGTATGGATGAGAAAGGTAAAAGTAAATAATTATATAAATAAGAAATAAAAAAATGCAATTTAATTAAAATGTCAAACTCATATCATTCCTTAGCAATTCATATTGCACAATAGTTGGATAAATTGCTTATTAATGCAAAAAAAAAAAATTTCGAGATAAAAAAAAAAAGTTCGAGAAATAAAACGGAATTATATTCACCTGAATGATTCGAAAATACAATGAATTTAACTTATCTGAATTAATCTTTCTTTTTTTTTTTCCTTTTCTTTCATTCAAATATTTGGAGTAAAATTTTGTTTTTACTCTTAAAGAAACGATGAATAGTTTAAGAGTTAATTATTACTTAGAAATTAAATTGAAAAAGCAAAATTACAATAGAATAAACTGGTAAATGATGTGAAATGCATGAAAATGGGATAAATGATGAATGTATATTTTAAATATTGTTAAATTTTATCCATTATTATTCCAACATTACCATTTTTTATCTTTCATCTTACTTATGATTAAGGCTTACTTATCACTAATTTTTGTTTTAGAGTATATCATAACTAATTCAAAATTTGACCACTGGTCAAGCACACATCATTATTGTAATTATAATACGATGAAATTGATAAAAATGCTTGCTAAAAGTTCTATTGTGACTAAATAATTTTGTTGTTTAATAATTTTCTTTCCTTTTTTTTGATAATTTAAATGAAAATAGCATATTTCAAAATGTTCCAAAATCTGAAAAAAGTTAGCAAAAATTCAAATATGGCAGTAAGCAATGATGGGAAATTGAACTTTGACATGAAATTACCGCTTCAAGTTGCATTATTAGCGCCTTGCATCATAATCCTTCTCATCGATATCATAAAGTTGCTTATAAAGTGGACAACAGAAGCAACACCAACAGGACAGGAAAATAAGCACTGCAAAAAGGATTGATTGATTGATTGATTGATAAGATCAATCATCCGATAAGGTTATCTTATCATGGATGAATTGATTCTGCATTTGATGATAAACATCAGATAATTCATCCAGATGAAATTACATTCACTCTATGCCAAAAAAATTCGATAATTACTATATCAAATAAAAAAACCAAAAGATGTATTTCATTTTAAATTTTTTGATAATTAAAAAAAAAAAAGTCATTTTAATAAATAAAATTTTTAATAATTTATTTTATTATAAGTAGCAATTAATTAAGAAGGCAAAACTTACAAGCTATTAAAATAAGTGAAGCAATAATAATAGCAATTAATGCACCAGTTGGAATAGCAAATGGACAGCAAGATGGCTTCCATGAGCCTAAATATGGCCATGTACAGCACCAATTGTAGCTATCCCAATCTGTTGGCTGTGGACAGTAAGCCAAATATCCTGAATTTTCAAGAAAAAAAAAAAACAACTAACTAATTAGAATTTTTAATTAACATTTTTAATTAACTAAATTAAATTAAAAAATTACTATTAATTATGATAGACTTAAAACTTAAAAATTATTCCTAATTATTGCAATTAGAAAATATTATATAGTTAAGGCAAAAAAAAAAAAAGTATTCGTAAATGCTTGAAGTATTTGTAATATTAGCTGAATTAATTAAAAGGAATACCGTATCCCGATGGACACCACCAAATTTTTCTGTTACCAAGGCGTCCCTCGATATAATGTGACAATGGATTGTGTAGCTGACCACTCACTATATCACCTAAAATAAAGTGACCACTCACTATAACACCTAAAATAAAGTGACCACTCAATATGTCACCTAAAATAAAGTGACCACTCACTATATCACCTAAAATAAAGTGACCACTCACTATAACACCTAAAATAAAGTGACCACTCAATATGTCACCTAAAATAAAATTTTGCAAATATTAAATAGAATTATTAATAAACATATTGTTAATGATAATATTAGAATAATTGATAGTTAGTAATATCAATGTTATAATCAAGACTTAGATAAAGTTATATCAATTATTTAGACAATTATTCTCATGCCAAAATGCAAATATAGTTATATAGAATTTGTAGTTTTGGTTGATTAGTTAGAAACTTTTCTGGAAATTTACAATTCCGGTTAAATTAAATTAATATTATAAATTTGTTTAATCAAATTATATATTGCTTTAATTGATCGAAAAAAAAAAAAACTTTTTCAATGTTTATAAATTTATTATCTTTACTTCTCTTTATCGAATTGAAAAAAAAAAAACTCCAAATAAATTTCGATTAATCGAAATGGAAAAAAAAAGTGATACTAAAATTCATTTAAAGAAAAAAAAAATAATGGAAATTATTTTCGTGAGGAAAAAAAAATTGCAAAACAGTTAATAATTTCTTCAAATTTAAGATAAATTTTTATAATAAAAATACTTACTTAGTGCAATTATTAAATAGCAGGGCCAAATATAAGTCGGTTTAATCAGCATATTTTGTTTAATAGATTCAGAATTTTCCCACTGAATTTAATTTGTAATCGAATCTGAAAATTAAGCTGCAAAATTGAGAGAAATTCTTTTTTTTTCCACTTCATTTTATCCAATCAATCGAGAAAATTAGCCCATCTTACAAAATTTATGAAACATTGCTAATATCAGTGTGAATTATAAGTAAAATTAAATATTTTGCTCAATGAATGAAAGTGCTATGATAGAAATTATTCAATAACTTTATTTTTAATTCAGAAAAATAAAAAAATAAAATATAATTTACAAATATGAATTTAATAAATTAGCAAAATGAAATATTCCGATTATCGTTCATTTCAACAAATTCATGATGTAAAGAATTTATATTTTAATCTGTCATCCATAAGTCTTTCTGACATATTATGAAAAATGAAAATGAATTCATCTTCTGCAATTGACAATTTCATGAAATTTCAATTTTTCGAATTCTTTTTTTTAGAGAAAAAAATGATGATGAATGCTTAGTTTAACGCATACAAAAAATAATGAAAAGAGCAATGAAATAATGTTGAAAAATCAAAAAAAAAAAAAAAAATGGAGTGAATAAAAACACTGATAGTGTTATCAGTGATCAGTTTCAAACTAATCAATATTACATGATGATATGCTTAGAAAATTATCATTCCTCCATATGGTTGCAGTGATAACAGAATCATTAATGAACGATGGGAATAGAATCATAAAGATAGAATGAAACACAATTTGAAATAAATTTATTATTAAAATAAATTTCGATCTAACAAACACATTAACGAAGGAAATTGTGAATCATAATAGGATTTATGTTAAGATTTTTTTAATTAAAAGTAATTAATAACTAATGAATGTAATGAATAGCAATAATAATCTAATGATTAATATTAATAAATAAATAAATAAATAATAATAATAAATAGTCCTAAAGTTATAGGATGCTATTTTCATTATCACAAATTAAATCAGTGTTATCAATTTTTGACTTCACACATTGAAGATAACGATCTAAGTATTACTATATTACTGAAATAATTATGCTTACCTATATTTCTCCTGTCTTAAGCTTATTAATTTAAATTAAAACATAAAATGAATGATACAGTTTTGTTACATCCATTGATAAGTAATCAAATAATATTAAGTTAAAAGAAGTAAGAAAAAAAAAAACGAGTATAAGAATTATTAATTTTATGCTACAACTTAATTGGTTTAATTAGATTCTCGAGAAAAATAAACATTCTCGACTGCTTTTATTGAAGATAAACTGATCAGATGAAATATATCAGTGTAAAATTTGATGATGAAATGAAAATATTGAAAGCATTATGCTAATGCAAACATGAAAAAGCATTGATAGAAAGGTCTATTCTATCCATATCAGTGATGAGTAATCCATTTTTTTCATCAATGAATCATACATTCAAAAAGAGTAAAGTGTCAGTGCTTAGCCATCAAATGGAATATACAACTTTATTTATGCATTAATTACGTGTGATACGCTTACTTTTAACGTTTAAAGTTTAATATTTACGTGATTACTTAAATATATGTTTAAGTATAAATTTCTTCATTTGATAGCTATTATATTCTCATATCATTTCAATAATAAATAAAAAAATTTTTTTTGTTATAGATGAAAAATAACTAAATACAATGATTTATGATACTTTTCTTTAGCATAAATGAATTAATTAGTTTGAATTTAAACAATACACTTATCAGTTATGTGAAATTAGTCAATTAATTAATAATTGTTAAATTAATCAAATTTGATAATAATATATTTTGAGTAAGCCATTTTATCACTAATTTTATCATTTATACGTCAAAACAATATGTAATTTAATAGTAAGAATAATCCATTTATTAGTTTAAATTTTTTTTTTTGCAAAACGATTAAAAAAATATTTTATTGAATGCACTGATTATTATTCAATAGTAGTATCCAAGGCATTGTCAATTTTATTTCCATAAAAGTTAACATTTAATGATGCATATTGGATGAATCGATAGAGTTATGAACAGAAAATATTTAATAAACAATTGTATGAGTCATTCTGATCACTTCCAATTGGATGAGTCATTCTGATCGATATATGATCAATTCTGATCAGTACTTACATATTTAACTTTATGCCTTATATAAATGAATCAAATTTTTAATCATTTGAAAATAATCGATTCATTTATGATTTTTAATGAAGTTTTTATTACAAATTTAGCATCAATAATAAGCAAAAAAAGTAAATTTTATACCATAAATTAATGTAAGAAATCAATTATTTAGAATTTTTTGTTTTCTTTGAATTTCTTAATTGTATAAAGAAAGTTATGTGATAAAATTTAAAAAATCATTTTAAATTTGATAAAACTAATATAAGTGGAATATACTGCTCGTCGCTGTATCAAACAAAATGAAATATTTGCGCTCATTTGCTTACTAATCAAATAAAGATTCCTGTGATAAACAATTTATACATCCGATAGTTATATAATTACTATAAATTTTGATAATTAAAATTTATTGAAATGTTAAAATAAAGTTCTAATTTTAATTTGCATACAAAGTATTTTCATTTTATCAAGCATTGAATTTCCGTAAATAATTGCTAAGTGAAGAAGAAAAAAAAAATCTTACTAATACTAATTAAAATAATGAAATTTGGTCCTTCTGTAAATAAATAAATGGAATTTTTCAATTTTTTTTTTATTTGAAAAAAGGAGGTAAAACGAAAAGAGAATGAAACTGAAGTAGAAAGAAAGGGAGAGAGAGAGAGAGGAGGGAGAGAGAAAGATAGAAAGAGGGAAAGAAAGGAAAATAAACGGTATGCTTGGCGTGCTTTGGGAATTAACGGTCGTCTGCTCATCACATCTTACTTAAGTAAACAAAACAACCACTTGTTGTATACTTGCTTAGACTAAAACATTTATGTTAAAGCTTAAAATTGCGATGATGACTGCAGCTGCAACTGCAACTGCAATTGCAACTGCAGGTGCAATTGCAGGTGCAACTAGTACTATTAGTATTATTATTAATACAGTGTTAGATATAATATACATAAAAGCAATAAATGTAAAAGAAGAATTGTAAATATGTCGTTAAGCCACTTTTAATCCTTCGTTCTCAATTAAATATTCGATGACAGAAATAAAAAGGATTGAAATAAAACAAAAAGGAAATAGGAAAAAAAAAGGAGAGAAAGAGAAAGAATTGATGATTGCTAATATAATAATTAAATTAATTGATTATAAGTGATGTGATATGTATTGGAAATATATTGGAAGGTAAAATGAATTAAAAATAAATAAATAAGTAAATGAAATTATTCATTAGCTAAAAAAAACTCAAATTTATGGTATATTTTATTTCATTTTCTTGTGTATATTTTACATTTTATTCTTTTTTTTTGACAAAGTAAATGATTGAATAAATTTAATAATGCAATGGTTAGAGTTAACATTGATTCAGTGAAAATAGGTTCATTAAATTTGAATTTACTTAATTTCAGCAAAAATGGAATTATTTATAGAATAGAATCATCTATTGAGATAGCAATTTTCATTGTGTTCTATGCTCGAAAACGCTCGTATGATGATGGCACCTTGGTTGTTTTGGGAAGGTGGTGGCAGGAAGGAATTTGGCAATTTTGTGAGGTGGAGGAATTATTCCAGAAATTTTGGACATATTGCTACTCTTAGAGAAAGTTGAGATTCTTTTAGGAAATGTATTTCACGAGTTTCTGACTGCGTATAATATTTTTATAATTATATGTGTCTACTTATTATTATTATTTCATTAGTATAATATTTCATTGGTATGTTTATTTTGTATTAATTCGTTATAATATCAAGATTCAGATTGATTTATTGATGTTATATGCTCTCAAATATTCATAATGTAGTTGTCAGGTGATGCTGTTGCGATTAAGATTACCAGCAGGATGGCGAATGGTAAGCACAGGAACGCAAAGTTTCAAATCGGATAATTTAGTTAAGAATTTATTTCTGAAAAAGATCAAGGAATATGAGTCCAAGATGGCTGGAAAAGAAGGTGGACTTGTGGATGCCACACCTGAGGTACGATCGTTTTTTGGTTTCAGTTGTGTGGTCAGCTATAGCAGCATTCGTCTGAAAGCTTCAAGGATTTAACCAAATGGCTTTCAATTTTTTATTGAATCAATGTGATTCATTAGAGCATCATTAGAGCATTCATTAGAGAAACAACCGTTCTTTTTTTGGAAGTATATAAGATAAAGTATTTTTTAATTTCTTTGCCACTTTTTATTTCATATTTAAAGAGTTTTTGATAGTAAATGAATTTTATAATACTACAACACATTCTGTAATATGAACTAGAATGCATTTGACTTGTGAGTCATAGATATATTTAATATTTGATTGTTGGTCATTTTATTGACAAATGAATATGGCATAATTCATTGCAGACACATCGGTCATTGGAAGATCAGTTGCACCGTTTAGCTAGTAAGTATCACTTAGAAAATAAAGAAGTGGTGAACGAGTTACCAGTGAAGCAGATGGAAACTCCTTCTATTGAAAGTGCTGTGGCCGTGATGTTCGAGGGAAAAACAGTTGATGATTTGAATAAAGAATTGGAAAATGAAATTCAAAAATACACGGAAATGCGACGAAAGAAGCAAGCAGCGGAAGAGGAAATGCAGTCACATCTTCGAACTGTCAAGCAGTAATAGTCAGAAAAGCCTAAAAATAGTTTATCTTGACAAGCTTTTTTTTCAGAGGAGTTTAATTTGAAACGATAATGTATTGTCATTTTACTGCTGTCATTGACAGTGCATTCGGTATTAGCTAATTTATAGTATGCATGAATAGTATGTAAATAAAAAGTTCTATTCTGGTTTACTTCTTTGCACTTTGAACTGGTCATGTGCCGCAGCATTTTTGTTAATTTCCTTCTCCTAGAATTTGTTTATATTTAAGACATTTCATAGATTCTCATCTAATCA